TTCACCACTCTCAAAACCAAAATCACCACCAAACTCCAAACCCAAACCCAAACCATCACCCAAACTACTCAAAAACTCAATGAATCTAATTCCAAACTCGAACTCTCAGTAAAAGAAAACTCCGAAAATGAAAAGGTCTTAGAACAACTATTAAAAGAGTTTAAAGAGTTAGCGGAACAATTAAACTAAAATGCTAAGAGAGGAAGTCCTGCGTGAGAATTAACTTTAAAAAAGGGGTGACTTTCCTGGCTGAACAATACGACCACACTATTTTGCCTAATTTTCCAATTAATCTTAATCGGGCACGAACTCAATTAGACACTTGAACTGGTTATGAATACTTAGCCAAAATTGATGACCAAAGAAATCGGATTTGAAATGAAAACGAATTACTTGGTGAATTTGAGTCTTTAACTCTTTTACAAATGAGTTTGACTGATACCTTGCAGATGTTCAAAGACTTAACTCAAGGTTGAAAAAAAGAAAAAGACAGTTATGCTCGTTATCAACAAAATAATAATCCTAGCGGTCCCACTATTCACGAACTAGATGACTGATAAAAATATGACTAATCCACAAAAAAAAAAAAAAAAAACAGGAAGTATTAGAACTCTGAACCGAATTAAAAACTAAACTAATTACTACTCTTACTGAACTAAAAGCTAATCATAAGGATCAGTGAGCAGTAGTTAAGTCTAAGAGTGCTTCGCAATGAGTTAAAATTATTCCTCCTGAGCAATTAGAAAGAATAAAAGGTGAATTAACCGAAAAACAATCTCTTTTAAAAGGACTGAAAAAGCGACGTAACCGAGAATTATTCTCGCTCCAAGACCAAACTAAGCACGACCAACTAATTCAAGAAATAACTAATCTCCAAAAAGAATTAGACTGACAAGCAAGTTTCAAAAGTCTCAGGCAAGGTGAAATAATAAATGATAAACACACTCTTTTAGTTCTTCAACAAGAACTTGAAAAAGAAAGACCAAGTAGATTTGCTCTGCGACAAGAATTAGTTCAAGCCAATGAAAAACATGACCGCCTAAACGATAAACTCAACTGACTCAGAACCTTAGTGCGAGCGGGAGATATCAATCAACTCCAAGAATTAGTCCGTCAAGCTAAAATTTAACCTAACCATTATCAAGCCACTAATTTGAGAAAGATTGCTCCAGAAATTAAATAACTAGTGTGATAGTTATCGGTTATGAAATCAAACGGTCTTTGGCTTTGATACTGCTTATTCAGCTGAAAGTTATTGACTTATTTTCTAGATAATATGAATCATTTATGGATTAGGAATTGTCATCCTCAGGATTAGTTTTTTTTGTTCTTTACTAATTACTTATTTTTACCTACCCACTTAATTCACCTTAACAAGAACCCTTTATCATTTTACTCCTTACTTTCAAAATATTAGAAATTATTACAAAAAATTATGGGAAGAAAAAATAAAAAACCCAATAGATACAATATTATCCAACCGCAAATGGTTACCGGCTCTGGAGGAACCAGTGGATTAGGTTCGCTAACTAATTTTACCAATGCCCAAGATATAAAAAATAGATTCTGAACTAATGCTGCCAGTCGCCGTCAAGCCGGCGACAAGGCTAGTGGCGATGCTGGATACTGAATCGAAGGAAGGTGTGATTGAGGAGGTAATCATAATTTAGGTGAAGACAGTCAAGTTTTAGCCAGTTGAGCCAATAATATAGTTAGCACTCAATATGATGCTCAAGAACTAACTTTAGCAGTTAATGAGCAAGAATTTAATCAAAAAAAGCAAGCACTAGTAAACAAATATCAAGATTGTATTAGTAAATGTCAAATATCAAGCACTTCATCAATAGGAGGCATTTGTTGTATTTGAAGTGATTACTTTGGTAGTTTTGTGGCACCTTTTGCTAATGAACTCAAGCAAGATTTACAATCTAAACTTAGTCAATTACAGGCAATTGACCCTATTCATCAAAGAGACATCTTGGAATTAGAAGCCGAACTTAGGGAAGCAGAAACTAAATACAATGATGCCATGACTAAGGCTGCTACTGAAACTGATCCTGCTAAAAAAGCCCAATTTATTGCTGCTGCTCAAGTTGCTGAACAAACTATTAGGCAAATCAAAGCCAAACTTGCTAATAATCCCTTATCCAAATTAGCACAGTATAGTTACATAAACAACATAGGCAGACTTCTTAATGGCAATGTTCCTTCATCTTTACCAGGAAATAGAAATAGCACGAATGGATCTAATTCAAATTCTAATGGTTCAGAAAACAATACCAGAAAAAATAAGGGCAATGGACAAACTCCTTGAACTTCCTGAGGAGGTGGTAGTTCTGGTTCTAATAATCAACCATCAACTAACCAACAGCAACTCCTAATTTTTGCGGGCATTGCTGTTCTAGTAATCTTCTATCTCCTAAACCAAAAAGACTATGACTAACTCCCAAGACCTAAAAAATAAACTCGGTGAAGCCACTGAGCAAATCGAAGCCACAGTTACTCCTCTTTATACTAGTTTAGAATCCTACCAAAGAGGTCTAATTTTAATGGCTCTCGTTGCTTTGTTAATCTTCACCATCTACTATCTCACTAAATCTGAACCAAAACTATCGGCTAAAAAAGAAGCCCAAGTCGAAGAAAGATTATTACGACAAATGGCTTTTTTTAAGAGACTAAAAGAATAACCATGTATAACATCGACCATTACTTTGATTTTGATTCTCCTCCCAAATCAGTCATTAAATCTAAAAAAAAGAAACAGCAACAACAGCAAATGCTCCTTTTACTCTTGTTAGCAGTTGCTGGTGCTTATTACTTTATGATTTATTTACCAGAGGAGGAGGCGAAGAAATTGGAAACTAAATTACAAGCAGAACTTGATCAAGTAAAGAATGCTCAACCAGATGATGTTGCTGAAATGCTATCTACTTTACAAACTTATAAGAAATGAGCCGATGGCAACGAAGTTCAAAAAAAGGCTTTTGCTAATAAACAGAATGAATTCAATGAAGCAATAAAATGATTACAAGAACATCAAAAAACTCCTGAACAAATAGAAAATGAGTATTTTTTAAAAGGAAGGATTTGGAGTTTGCCTGCGAAAAGTTGAGCCGATAATGAAATAAGAAAAATATCTAACATCTTAGTGGGTCGTTATAGCGAAGATGCTAAAATACTGCCTGGCGGAGACAAACATCCGAATTTTCGTTTTTCTCGAGCAGCTAGTTATGACATTCATTTTCCTCCTTCCATGAAAGAATTTTTTGAATTAGGAAAAGAAAGAAAGAAAAAGAATTGCTACATGCTAACTAAAAACGAAGAATTAATTTGATCCTCTGAAATTCAATCTTGATACAACCAAGTAATGCGAGATAAACCACCTTGAAGAGGTAATCCCAACCCTTCAACTAAAAAAGACAATAACGCAATCTTTTTTGGAGCACCAGGAACAGGTAAATCAGCTACGGTAAAAAAGATTTGCATTGAGGCTGATGAATGTCCGCTGGTAATAATCAAGGGTTCTAGTTTATCTTGCACTAAGCAGGATCATGAGGCCGGCATTTCACCTCTTCAGAAATTTGTTTATACTATAAGTGAATTAGAATGAACATTAGTTAAAATTTATGGAATGGAAAGAGAAACTAATGGAGAAGTGCGTTATATCCTTTTTGTTGATGAGTGTGATCAGATTAGCAACAATACCATGATTCACGACCCTAATCGTTTGCGATTCCTTAAAGAACTTCTAGAAGGGAGTGAATCTAGCCGAAAAGAAGAAACCCAAAACCTTTGAATATTTGCGACTAATCATTTAAAAGATGTAGAAAGTGCAACTTACCGCGAAGGAAGATTAAGTAATCCTTTAGACTTTAGTTGGACATGGGGAGAATTTAAGAAATATTTTGATGATGCCAAGAATAATCCGACTAAATACAAATTACCAACTTGGTTTAAAATTCCCGAAATGCCAAAAAGATGGCGTGATACCCACACTTTAGATGAAGAGGATAATAAATGAGTAAATAATTTTAACAAGTTTTCTTTCGTGGCTGACTTTTTAGGATATGATCCAGAAAAGTCTAGCAGACCGAAATTTTGAGAAAAATTTATCACCAAGAATCTTGATGCTATTTTAAAAGAAGAAATTCAAATAACTGATGGGCAAGGTAATTCAAAAACTGAAATGGATGAAACTGAGGTTGAAGTTGGAGAATTTTTACAATTCTTCTGAAACCTAAAAAATGGCGGACAGTTGGCTAATTATGATGGAGAATTCGAATCTCCTCGCATACCAAAAGAAGCTGAAGTATTAGATGATAATTTGCCAAATTTAGGAGAAATGGCTAGACTAATCGGTCAATCCTCCAATGCTCTGACCAAGGCTTTAGAAAATCTAAATCGAGAAATACAAGGCTTAAAACAAAACATTCAAGCATCTGGCGGAAACGGCGGCGGAGTACAGGCACAGATTATGCAACTACGTCAGCAACTAGCCGACTTAGCCAAAGAAATATATAGAAAGTAACATGAATAAGGAATTACAACTTAAAATAAAAACCATTGAAAATCTAATCACCCAAACTCAATCCACCCTTACCCTTTGAACCAAAGAAATCAAGACCTACCAAAAACAATTACAAAACATTACTCAACAACTAAACAAAATTAAATTACAAACCACAAAATAATATGAAATTCACAATTAATAAAATCAGCCTACAAGGCTCAAATATCAAATAAAGCTATGGGACTTTGAAACTGAATAAAAGAAAATACAGGTAAAATCGTTGCTACTACTGTTGCTGCGGTTGCTACCGGCGGTGCTTCCTTAGCAATCCAAGCAGTTGCTATTGGAGCAGCCTACTTAGCAGGTTCTGCGATGGATGCTGATATCAAAAAAAGAGAGAATGAGAATAAACAATTGGCTTTGGCTGGTAAAGCTGGGGAAGTAATAACCAATCAAGTGAATGGTTTACAGAATGATAGAAGTCAGAAAGTAAACCAATTGAATACTTTAGAGCAACAAATCCAACAAAAGAAAAGTAAGTTAAACGATCCTAACACCTCTGAGAGTGAAAAAGCCCAAATTAGAAGTGAGTTAATTTCAGTTGTAGAACAAGCAGATAAAATCAGAAACGAAATATTGGATTACGATAAAAAAATAGAAGACTTATTAAAAAACATTCCAAATGGTAGTGAAAAAGGTAAAGGAGGTCTGATTAACTTAGAAAGCATGGATCCTCAAACCAAAATGATAATGGGAGCAATAATATTCTTAATAATTTATTTTGCTTTTATCAAGGAGAAAGAAAAAGATTAAATAAAAGTCTGTAGTTCAGTTTGGTTCTTGTAAAACTATAATATAGATAAAATAACAATTGTTATGAACATGGACAAAAAATTGGAAGGACCTTTTCATACTTCTCCTGGCAATAAGTGTAATGCATGTGGGAAAGTAATAGAAAATAAAGAATATAGGAGAAATTACAACGAAGAACTTTATCGAGAAACTGGAGGAAAAGAAGGTCGAATTACTTATTGCCTTCCATGTGGAAAGGAGACTATTATTGCTGAGAATGAAGAGGAGAATAAAAGGATTAAAAAAAACCAAGAAGAAAGAAAAAAAGGGACACAAGAGACAATTAGAAATTGCTTTGCTGTATTAGACTCTTTATTCCAAAGACTAGCCCAAGAAAATGTGGTAGGAACCATTGAAGATTACAAAAAAATAAAAGGAATTCAAGAAAGAATAAAAAAATTAGACAAAAAGACAATAATAGATCCATTTACTGGTCAAGCATGCCCTCTTATTAAAACTGACCTTAAGAATTTAAAAAAATATTGTCAAGATCTAATTAATGAATATATTTCACCTAAAGATAGAGACACAGTTGATAATAAAGGTAAGTATCACATTAAAAGGTATTGTTGTCGAAATACTGAAATTAAATTAGATGAAAATAATCAAGAATATTACTGCGATTATTGTTGAGAAACCGAAAGTCCAAAGTTCTTACAATCTTTAAAGAGTTATCATATAGACAAATTAAATAAGAAAATGCTAAATAATGGCATTTCTTCTTTTGAGTTAAATAGTTTGAATTATCAAAGCATGTTAACTGTGCCTGATTTTCTTTTAACCCAAGAGGGAATTAAAGACACTTATCAAAAAGCCGAAAAAGACTTAGAAGAATTGTTAAAGAAAAAGGGTATTAGTATTCCGCAACCAAATAGTAGTGTCAATAATCCATTAAATAATACAAGGAATAAAAGTAATAGTAATATAAGTAATAATAATAACTCACAAGAGAGAGAGAGAGAGAGAGAGAGAGAGAGAGAGAGAGAGCAAATCCAGTCTCAACAATCACAATTACTTTCAGAAATCATGCAATTAGAATCTAATCCTACTAGTTCTAATATTCAAGAATTAGACTCTAAAAAACAACAGTTAAAAACTTTAGAGACTAAATCTAAAGAACTAATTAAACTTTTACCTTTAGATACTCAAATTACTATATTACAGAAAGAAATAAAACTTTTAGAAAGCAAACCCACTAAAAACCATTTAGAAAAGGTATTATTAACTGATAAAAAGAAAGAATTAGCGGAATTATTAAGTAAAAAAAACAATTCAACTACTAATAATGCTAAACCTAGTGATAAAACTGGACTTTATATTGGATTAGGTGCAATTGGAATATTAGTTGTGTTTGGTATCTTTATCCTAGTAAGAACGAGAACTCATAAAAGATCTTCGAGTCTAAGAACAGTAAAGTTAGTAAATTAGAATAATTACACAAAACACTACTAATTTACTATCTTTGACTTAATTGTTCTAGTAGTGTTGTAAATATGAAAGAAAATCTAAATAACAAAATAATAAGCAGTAATAAGTTAAACTTGCCATCTACTTGAACTAAGAAAAAGATGGCTAGTTTGTTTTTATTGACTTTGGCTACTGTAGAAAAAGCAAAGTCCGGTCAAGGATTTAACAACTGTTTAACTTATGCAAAAAATGATAGTGCTTCTTATGATTTATTATTAAAATTTCCTTTCAATAGTTTTAGTAGTTCGGATAGTTCAGTAATATATCTTTGCTGTAATGTCGCAAAATGTTTAGCGTGTTCGGCTAATGATACTTATAGTTTTCATTGCCGAAATTTTTTAGAAAGAATTCAGTGTGGGGTGAGGGAAAGTTTTTTGACTCCTTGTGGAGGAATTATTGGAGATAAGCAAATTACAGCTAATATCAGTATTGGTCTTAATGAGGATATTATTGGGAAGTTTAACTTTTGTAAATTTTATAATTCTTCTGATATAATTAATTATATTTCCAATGTTGCTCCATTTGGTATAGAGGAAGGTTATGCTTCTTATCCTTGTCCCTCACAAGTTACTTGTTCAGGTTTTTTTTGTAATTGAGATAATGGCGGTTGAATATGTTGGAGTTACTTTTTAAACTCAGGTTATTGTTTTCTTCAATGACCCGCTCCTTGACCTGGTTCAGTTGACAAAAATCCTCTTTTGGCTACCGTTAGTAGTTCCAGTTTAATTAGTTCCCCCACTTCTTCTCAGTTAACTCCTAATCCTGTTAATGACCTAAATTTAACTAAAATATTTGTTCCAGTCGGAGGAGTGACATTTGGAGTTATTGTTATTGGTGGGACAATTTATGTAACAATTAGCAAGAGAATTCTAGGTAAAATTCTTGATGTTGACATTAGCGACTTGGACTTGGAGAAAATAAATACTAAAATAAACGAATTGGATCAACACCGTAATGTCGGAAAAAACTTCCTAAAAAAGGTAGTTTGGAATTATTCGAATGCCCAAAAGATTTACAATGAATTGGTCGAGCGAAAAAACCAACTAACAACTGCTTATGACAATTTAACAACTGCTTATGACAATGCTAATATTGACTTAGCTGCAACCGACTTAACTATTCAGTTAGTAACAAAGGCTTTAGAGCATTTACAGCCTTTTTATGATGCTGCCCAAAATCAAGATAATAGCCCTAACAAAATTGCTTGAAACAACAATGAGTTTGTCCACATTTTCTATGACAAATTAATTGGTAAACAAAAAGAAATAAAAGTCATAATTAAAAATAATAGAAGAATGACTTTTACCAACGAAAAACCCATTTTAGAACTTCCTATTATAGGTAAAGGTGGCTATGGAGAAGTATATCACGGCAAATGAGGATTACAAGAAGTAGCAGTCAAGAAACTTTATCTGTCACCCAATAACACTTCCGAATCCGACCTTAAAGACATTCAAAAAGAAATAAGCACTCTTAAAGATCTAAGAAATAGGCATATTATTCAATATTATGCAGTTTATTCTAGTGACCAAGAATTCTTTATTATCATGGATTATGCCGAAAATGGTACTCTAACTAAGTTTATTAATAATAAAGGTAAAGAACATGATTGAAATTTTAATACTGATCTTATCAAACAAATGGTGTTAGGATTAGCCTATATTCATCATAAGAATATTATTCATCGAGATCTGAAAAGTATGAATATTTTGCTTGACAAACATTTTCAAGTAAAAATATCTGATTTCGGATTATCGAAAACCAAAATAATTGGTTCCTCTCAATCTAAACACGATGCTGTTGGTACTCTTCGGTGAATGGCTCCTGAAGTTATAAAAGAACAAAAATATTCAGAAGAATCAGATATTTATTCTCTAGGTATGACTATGTGAGAAATTGCTGCTAAATGCACCATTCCTTTTAAAGAATTTGACAATAATTCAGTAATGTTCAAAATTGTTTTTAACAATGTAAAAGAAACCATACCAAACAGTACTCCCAAAAATATCCAAGATATTATTCAACAATGCTGAAAGGATAACCCTAATCAAAGAATAACATTAGCAAACATACTTGAAGTAATTGATAATGAAAGGTTAAACTCCCAAATCACTTCATCAGTAGCCCAATCGGATCTCAAGAATCCCCTAAATTACAGTAGTGAAGAAATAAGTAATAAAAAAATTGAATGTCCTGAGTCCTTAAAAGTAATTAACTTCCTAGAGGATGACCAAAATAGTCAAGAATGGCAATCTCAAATTCAAATCCCACCTAAAGGAAATAATTAGGATTGATGATCAACTAAAAATAGGGGAGTCTAAAAAACTCCCCTTTTAATACTTTGTATAATAAAATAATCACAGATTATTTATTTCTAATAAGTATTTTAAGTATTTAGTCCTTAAATATCCATTAGATAATTCTCTTTGAATACTTTTCTGCACCAAGCCTAACAAACTTTTCTAAAACTAAGCATTTTATCCAACCAAACTTATTCTAACTTACTTAATAACTCTTTACACTTTTCTACAATTCTCTCATTTTTGACCTTTTGAGCTTCAAAATCTTGAATGCGAGGATTATTAATACTAAGGGCATTATTAACCCGCGTTAAATCATCTCTTAGTAGTACTAATTCTCCTCTATTGCGAAAATCTCCTTTTGCTAACCGGAAAGTTAACTCCTCTTTTCGTTTAGTTCAGTAATATAAATATTTATCACTATGAGCAGAAGTAAAACTAGAAGCGTGTAGTAAGTGAAATTCTACCGCATCTTTTATTAGTCCTTTATTCTGATCTAAATAGACTAATTTACTTAGTTTATTTTTTAAATTAGTCCAAGTCTCTAATATCTCTGTTTTTTTTTTTTTTTTTTTGTGGATTAGTCATTAATATTAGTAATTTTACCACTAATCTAAAATAAGAACTAATAAAAGAACCTTATCTACTTACTTCTTTTTAAAACTTTTACCATATTATCTTTACTAACCTAATTTATTCATCTCAAGTTGGTTGATGAAAAAGACAATAATATTTGCCATCTCCTCATTTTTTAGAAACATAAGGAGAACTACATTTACTACAAAAATTACCATTCATATATATTTAAAGTTTTTGAACTTCTTTAAAATTAATAATATAATAAACTGAGTACTAATTACCTCTTTTAATATTTAACTAATTCCTTATGAATACTAATAATATCTTGTATTTTTATAATCGAGTTGGTTTAACCACTCTCACTTTTTTTCTAGTAAGACCAAGCGAAGCAACCGTTTTTAGCCAAAAAAACCTTTTAATTTTTGATAATTTTCTTGGCAAACTGAAAGAGTCGATAACAAATTAAATCCTTTTTTTATCTTAAAAAAAATGCTTTGGAGACTATTAGCGATAAAGTAAATATCCCAACCTAAACCTCCGGCACCTCCACAATAAATTTGATAATAAAGAAACAAAAAGAGAATATTAATTCCCAAAATTATTAACTCCGGTAATTGATAAAAAACTAATAAAAAATTAATTTTATTTATTTGTAAAGAGTTGTTTTCTAGTAATTTAGTTAAATTTTCTGAACTCTTGGCTCGGTGCTCCAATGGCAGTCGCTCCCACCAGGTTTTTATTTGGGACTTTTCCAAATTCTGATAAGTATTATTTTTAGCCAGTTTGATCTGATGAGATGAATTAAAAAAGTAATAAAAAAAAGCAAATCAAGTTAAATTAACTAACGTAAAAATAACCAGTAAAGGAACCAGTTGAAATAATTGATAAGAATTAACTAGAAAATAGAGGTTAAATAATGTAAACGAGAGATCAACCATTATTTCAAATAAACCAACTGGAATACTAATAAACTGGTGAGAAAATTCCGGCACCACCTTATTGACAATATATACCTTCTCTTCCATCTTTTTTATCATTAATTCTTTGTTTTTATCAGCATAATTTAGCAATTTTTTAGTTAAACAGACTCTAACTTCTCTTTCATAATTTTTCTGTCAGTAGGCCAGGGTTAAGCGAATAATTATTTTTAAGGGAAAATAAAGTAAAAAAAGAATAATTAATAATTTGTTTCAGTCGACATATATCTTGCTCCCGTCAATTTTTTTGATAAGTTGATATTTACCAAAAAGGTAAAAAAAGTGACCCCGATCACGGTTATAAGATAAATTATTAACTAAGTTGAAATAAATAAGAAAAGTTAGATAACTAATTAAAAAGGTGAGTAGAAAAAGCAATAAAAATTTTCATTTAAACCTTTTAAAAAGGGATTTTAATATTTTTTTTTTGAAAGTGGACTTAGGTGCTTCATTAGAAAGGTTAAATGAAGTTGTTAGCAGCCTAAATCTCATTAAATTATTTTTTCTCTTCTAGAATAAAATGCTCTTATTTAGAAAATTTATGTAATTGCTAAACCTCAACAAATTAAATAATATCCATTTCTTGCAACTTCTTTCGAACCTTATCTGCCAGCTGGTAATCACCTCTTTTTCGTAATTCCTGCCAAGTTTTAATTAATAATTTAACTTCTGAATTGTAAGGGGCTAGGTTAAACTTAAATCCCAACCAGTCCAACATAAAATGAAAGTTGCTAATGGTTTCCACTAATTCTTGGTTATCATTTTCTTTCTTATCAATACTTTTGTTAAGTGAATTGATGGACTGCTCCAAAAAAAAAAGGACTTTTACAGTATTAAGGTTATTTAGTAAACTATTAACTATTTCTTTTCTTTTGAGTGGTTTTTGCTCTGCAAATTTTATTTTTTCCGTATACAAATAAAAGTTCAATTTTTTGAGTAAGTTTCTTATTTTTTGGAGATAATCCATCGCTTGCCGAATCAATTCCTCACTAAGGTTAATTACTTGATTATAATGACTATTTAAAATTAAATAGCGTAAAGCATTAGGGTCATATTTTTGAGCAAAATGTTCCGCCAAAATAACATTACCTAAAGACTTTGACATTTTTTCTTCCTTTCAATGAATATGAGCGATATGTAGTCAGATATTACTTAGTTCTCGGTTATTGTGGACTAAATATTGAATTCTTTCGTTTTCGTGATGAGGAAATAATAAATCATTACCACCACCATGAATATCGATAGTTTGACCACCAAATAATTCATTAATAAAGACAGAGCATTCAGTATGTCAACCTGGTCTTCCTGCTCCTCAGGGTGAATTTCAAACAATTCCTTCCGTAGTTTTTTTTCAAAGCACAAAATCTCTACTATTTTTTCTCTCTCCCATCTTTTTCTCTTGGCCAGTCTTTAATTTTTCCAGATTTTGCCCAGAAAGTTTTCCATACGCTTGGTTTTTTCTAACCTCAAAAAAAACTTCTCCTGTTTTCTGGTAAGCAACTCCTTTTTCTAACAAATTTTTAATAAACTCATGAATTTGAGAAATATATTCGGTTACTCGTGGTGAAAAGGTGGGTGGAAGAACATTATAACGAAGCAGGTTAGCGAAATAAGACTGAGTATAATAATCACCGATCTCTTTTTCACTTTTATTTTCTTTTTGGGATTTGATAATTATTTTGTCATCAATATCGGTAATGTTTTGAATATAGTTAACCTTAATTTCTAAGTTTACTAATAGGCGATGCAAAATATCAAAAATAATGATGGGGCGCAAGTTGCCGATATGAATGTGGTCATAAACAGTAGGGCCGCAAAGATAAATATTAACCGTTTGACCTGGTTGGAGATTTAGTTTGGTAACCTTTTTTTTCAAACTGTTGAATAATTGAAGTTCCATTAAATTAATTTTGCCAAAGTTAACCATCGCACAATTAAAAAAAATTAATGATTCATCAAGTGCTATTAGTTCTTTACTTTTATTTTATTTCCCTTTATTGAATGCAAATTTGAACCATCCGCCCAACCTTATTTTTTAAAACTTTCTATTTCTAATATATTACTCTACAAAAAATTACCATTAAAAATTAGGGATAACCTTTATAGCACTAGTTCACGGTAATAAACATTTTTTCACTAATTTGTTAAATATAAATTATACTATAATTAATGAATTATTGTCGTCAAAAAGGATCTAAAAAAAAGTTTATTCTTCTTTTAATTATTATTTTTTCTCATATTTTTCCAGTTTTATTATCTGCTTTTTATGACCAAGCTACTCATGCTAGACACCAGATTAAATTAACTGAAGTAAGGTATTGATTATGATTCTTTACTTGATGGTCGGCGTGGGCTTCTTTATTGACCGTTCCGTGAGCCATTTATAAATTATGCACCCTTAAAAGAAGAAAAAGTAGTTTTAGTGAACAGATATGGGACATGATGGTGATGCAAACTAATTTCCTGAGTGGATTTATTTTTTGCTGCGGTGGTTTTTATTTAACCCTTCATACTACCTCCAAAACAAGCAGAATAGTTTTCCCCTTAGTAGGTAATGTCAGAACTATTTATATTTGACTAATTTATAATTTTTTTTGGCACGTTTTAGCCCCTATGTTGGTCTTCTGCTGCTTCTGAAAATACTGTTCGATTGACAAACTAGTGAAGAGAAAATGGCTCGGTTTGATAGTTAATTTATTTAATCCCACTATTTATCTCCTTTATCTCATTTTGCGTCCACAAATAAGTAATTTTTCTAAATCTTCCCTGCTTTTGCCACACAATTATCCTTCTGATTATCCTTATCCTCCCTTTTTTTGGATTATGGGAAAATTTGCTAATGGTACAGAATGAAGAGGGGGTCGAAGTAAATTTTTGTTTTTGAGTTGGAAACCAAGCCCCCTAATGGGTTTAATTTGATTAGCAATAACCCTTGCTTTTTGATACCTAATTTTCTCATTTTTATTTCATTTTTTCATAAAAATTAGGCTAAGAAGAAATAATAAATTAGTAATAAAATGTTAAATTTTTAGTTTAAACAAAGGTTTAACTACAAATGATCACTTAAAATTTTTTAATTTTACTTATACCTTTTCTCTCAGGTTTTATTTTTTCTTTTTCCCTTTTGTGGTTTAGTTTCTGAATAAAAACTTTTTCTCTAACTACGTGAATAGTTATTTCGCCAGGAATGATAACCTCCCGCTTTATCTTTTCTCTGATTTTTCGAGCCACCTCCCAAGTTTTGTAATCATTTAATTTTTCAGCATCAGCAAGTACTCATATTTCTCGTCCGGCTTGAAAAGCGTAACTTTTTTTGATACCAGGAAACTCATTAGCGATGTTTTCTAAATGATTCATCCGTTCAATATAGGATTCTAGTTGGTAACCGCGGACACCAGGGCGGGCTGCCGATAATCTATCAGCGGCCAAAATAATTAAAGAATAAAGGTTATTAGGAGGAAAATCTCGGTGATGAGAAGCAACCGCATTAATAACTACTTCTGGTTCTTGGCATTTCTTAGTTATACTAATACCACTCAAAACATGAGAAAAACCCCCGTTGTCTTCTACCGCTTTGCCAATATCGTGAAATAAACCGGCTCGTCGAGCTAGGAGAACATCTAAACCTAATTCGGCCGCAATGCTTCCCGCCAATTTGGCTACCTCTAAACAATGCTCTAGCACATTTTGCCCATAACTAGTGCGATATTTCAATTTCCCTAAGTGTTTAATTAACTCAGGATGAACATTATTTAGTTCCAACTCTCTTAAAACCTCTGTTCCACTTTTAATAATCAACTCATCAATTTCCGAACTTATTTTCTGGTAAGTTTTTTCGATTTGGAGTGGCGAAAACCTAGCCTCCTTAATTAAAGCATGAAGTGTCTGCAAACCTATGGTGCGACGTAAAGAATTAAAAGAAGAAATTTGAACACTCAACTCATCGCTCTCTCGGTCAATAATTAGTTCAGTACCAGTAATTCTCTGAAAAGCATTAATATTTCGTCCTTCTTTACCAATTATTTTGCTAATCATTTGTTGATTTTCTATAGGCAAAGTATCGGTAGTTCTAGTAAAAACTAACTCTGAACTACACTTTTCTAAGGCTAAACAAATTAATTTGTTACTTTCTTCTTTTACTGCTTTTTCCGCTCGCTTAATTTCTTCTCTTTTATATACTTCTAATTCTCTATTAATTTCTTCTTTTAATAAAGCAAAAAGGTTTTTTTCGGCTTCCTCCCTGCTCATCTGAATTATTTTTCCTAACCCACCAATTAACTGTCTTTTTATCTGATTAACCTTTTCCGTTTCCTCCTTAATATTTTTTTCCTTTTTAGAATTTACCTCTAGTTGCTGAGTAAACAATTCTTCTTTGCGAATTAATTGATCGGTAAACTCACTTATCCGTTGCTCTTCCTGTTGTACTTTTTTTTCCTTGACTTCAATCTTCTCTCGGTCAACCATTAATTGCCGAGTAATAATTTCTATTTTTTTCTCTCTATTTTTAAGTTTTTTGGCCTGTTTTTCTTGCTCATGCAATAACTGTTTTAACTCTAATTTGCCTCAAAGCACTCTTTTGAGATAAGTAAAAAATACTAAAATTAATATAATAAGAAAGAGGGCGAGAAAAAGGAGTAAATATCCGTAGCCTTCTCTTAGTCAGTGTAAGAAATTCATATGAAAAATAAAGAGTTAAAAAAATTATTAAGTAAAAAAAGTAAACCATTAGTTGGGAACAATCGTTCTCGTTCAGGACAAGCTAGGCGAGTCACTAAAAGAAAGTTCGCTACTAATCGACAAAAATTCCTTATTGAAGGCAAGGTTTATTATGTTCCAACTAAATTATTCCGCATTTACTGAGCAAAATTAAAATTTGGAGGTTAGTTCTACAGACTTTAATTCTAAGTGAGCAGTGCTAGGAATATAAGGTTTCATTTTCTCTTCTAAAGACTTTAAATCAAACGGACAATTACCATCTATGTAAATCACCCGTTTATGAGTCTGTTGCTCAAATTTTTCCTGTGCTCTTTTATGCTTGTGAGGAGAAATTAGAGTAGTAACAGTTCTTTTTTTAGTTGGAAAGGGACTTAGACTAAAATTTAGTTTAAGTTGAGAAAGTTTTTCGCTAACCATTTGAGTTGCTTCCTCAGTATCCGCTACATTATAACCGCGAATTGTGATTTTTATTTGATTATTATTTTTTTCTGCCATTATACAAATTTAAATTGAGATATATTAATATTTTAAGACTTTTTAATAAATATAGAACATGCTTAGAAACTTCTCAAAAGCCACTATACTCCCAACCAATAACCACCGAATCAAATAATGCAAATCTCATTGGATACAACTAAATCGAGCAAAAAAATGGGCTTGAAATCGAATGGTCGAAAAAGAGTTTTTTTGCTTCTGACTATAGGTTTGCTTCACGCTGGTTGTATGATGATGGCCTTTCACCTCGATTTATTTCGTCGCTCTACTTATTCTTTTGCTCGGATTAGTAATGTTGGTTATTGACTGTGAATTTCTTCGTGGTGGTGTATCTGGGTCGGCTGGTTGACCATAATTTGAGTTATCTACAAACTAACCAAAAAAAACCAAAAAAGTAGTTATTTTGAACAAATTTTTGATTTAACGGTCTTAATGGCTAACTTACTAATGATTGTAGCCTTTTTGGCCAATTTTATAATTTACTATTTTTGAAAATTAGAATGAATTTATGTGCCGGATACTGATAATCCCAACCGGGTTATTACCCTTTTTAATGCTTGGCCAATTAAAACCCAAACTTATTTCTGATTTAACATTGTTATTTCCCACCTTTTTGCTCCGCTTCTGCTACTCTATTACTTTCTAAAATTTAGTAAAGTTAATTTATTGAGAAAGAATTCTCGTTCTGCTCTGGTCGGAATTTGGTTGAATCCAACCGCTTGGTTTCTTTTTGTCATACTTCGGGAGAAAATTAGTAATTATTGAGTTCATCCTAATAAAATTTCCTATGATTTTCCTCGGAATTATCCTTATGTTTTCTTTTATCGCCTTATGGGACAGCAAGCCTATGAAAAGGATGCTAACTATTCTTATAGTCTAATTTCCCGCCTGTTATGAATGGTTGGCACGGTGCTCATTAGCGGTTTAATTTTTTATTTATTAGCGTATTTATTAATTAGATGGAAAGAAAAAGTCGATAAACAAAAAAACACTCGAATAAGAAATTTATTTTAGTATAGCATATAAATTTACATTAATCGTTAGTATATTTTGCTAATAATTCTTCATAGTTTAGTTTTGTCTGAGTCCTTAAAAGGTAGGAGCTAGAACCTTGTAATTACTATCAAAAAACTCTAACGTGGTAATAATTACGGTTATTTTTGCCTTAATTTTATTTGCTAATCCTTGCCAAGGCAAAAGAAAAATTTTCCCAAAACCCCTTGATAAAATCATAGTAATTATTTTCTCCTTGACTAATTTTATCTAATTCCATTTCCAAACCCGCCGTATAACCTTCATTGATTAGAGAGGAAAAATTTTCCTGTAATCAATTATTAACTGAAATTCCTAAGGGAGTGGGGACAAACTGCCCTTTTTCATTTAATTCAGCATAACCTCTTTTCAACAATACCCGACCGAATAAATTATAAGTTGAGGGACGACCAATTCCTAATTTTTCTAATTCTTGAACTAAGCTACCTTCGTTATAACGAACTGGTTTATTTTCTTGGTATTCCTGAACTTCAATTTTTTTAGCTTCGAGTTGCGAAATTGCTTCGAGCTCACTCTTTAACTTAACATTATAATTAGGAAAATAAATGGTGGGGGAACAAGCCAAAAATCCAGCAAATTGACAAATCCTTTCTGCGGTGGAAAAATAATAATTGTTATTAATAAAATTATAGGTAATCTTGTTAACTCGGGCTGGACTCATTAAACTAGCCAAAGTGTGATTATATACTAACTTATACAAACTATATTCTTCCGCTGACAAAGAACTTTTAAGGTCTTCGGGATGATAATCTAAGTAAGTGGGATGAATAGATTCATGAGCCCCCTGAACGTTAAGGGTCTTTTCCTTCTTTTTCCAAGCTGGGTTAGTATTAGCATAATCAGCACCTCATTTGGTTCGAATGTAGTGATAGACCGAAACCATAAATTCTTGGTTAATCCGGGGAGAATCAGTTCGTGGATAAGTAATCAAACCTACTTGTTTTCTTTTGGAACTAATTCAAACTCCTTCGTATAGTTTTTGAGCTATTTGAGTAGTTTGGGACACTGAAAAACCTAATTGGGATTTGGCCTCAAATAATAATAAAGAAGTAATTAGAGGTGGTTTTGGTAAAATAAACTTTTTTTCTTCTTTTTTGCCAGTTAATTGAAAAATTAATCCAAGTTTTTTTTTAATTTCTTCCGCCTCTTTTTTGTCCTTATAAATAACTAATTCGCCCGTTTCATCAACTTGTTTTAAAGTTATTTTTTGCTCATTGACTTGGCAAATCCCACAAAGGATATAAACTTTTTTCTTTTCAAATTTTTTTATTAATTCTTCTCGTTCAGTAATTAATTTCAAAACTACTGACTGAACCCGACCCGCCGATAAGGCTTGGAGTTTTTTTTGTAGCATTGTACTAAGACAAAAGCCAATCATGCGATCCAAAACTTGCCGAGAAAGTTGAGATTCGACTAAATTTTGATTAATGGTCAAGGGTTTATTTAAGGCTTCTTTAATACTACGGGGGGTTATTTCGTAAAAAAGTAGACGTTGACATTTTAAGGGATCTACTCCTAATGATTTAGCAGTTTCTTGAGCGATTGCTTCCCCCTCGCGGTCGGGGTCAGTCGCCAAGTAAATTATTAAATTTTTTTCCTTGGACAAATAGTTCCTCCAAACATTAATTAAACCTTTTTTTTCCGCAATTATGTCATAAGAAGGAGCAAAATTCTCCAAATCCACTCCTAAATTATATACTCCGGACTTCCTTAATTCTCATAAATGTCCGCCGGTCGCAAATATCGTATATTCTTCTCCTAAAAAGGACTGAATGGTTTTTTTTTTGGTAGCAGACTCCAAAAATATTAAGCCTTTCTTCATATTCCCCTATAATTTTTTTTACTAATCAGAACTTTTTTCTAACCTTCAATTGCTCCTTTTTGTCTATCTAAAAATACCAGAAAATGCTAGAA